TTCACTCTAACTGGAGTTAGGTCACAGGAAAAGACATTGGGGTGGTTTTTTTTCTCTTCTGCATTGGAGTAGAGAAGAAAGAACCACTAATTTTAGAGTAGTGATGTACATGAGAGTTGTCCCTATAAAGGCACCATGGTAAGATTTCAACCTGAAATTTGGCTGCAGTGGAATATGCAGGAAAAAGGAAAGCAGAGACAGGCTACTTTGAGAAATGTAAGTCCATTTAGCACCAGGCCGTAAACATTCGTATACCTCAATCATGAAGCTGCAGTTAGTTTCATACCCTGCAAGGAAATAACCTCATCATTTGACAAATACTGTGGGAGGCACAGCTTTGAGGGTTAGGAAGCTCTGCTTTCCCCTTATATGCTGCACTGATGGCAGGGGACATACATTAGAATCACAGGCATTGCTATGTGGAGCTGCTGCAGCTCCCGACTTCTATTTCCAAGCCTCACTCCTACATGTGTACCTCATGGACTTCCTGGGATGTGACAAAGGAAATCTCCTGTCTGCCTTATTGTGATGGCTTAGAACTGGTTTTAGTAATAAGAAAACTGTCTTGATAAATGAGCTACATGCATGCCTTAAAATGTCTGTTTTACTGTTTCTTCTGAGATGTTGCTCTCCATCTGCTTTGAGGGAAGCAGATAGATTCCAGCATGGCTTTCTAATAAATCTTCTCAAGGAGGGGCTAGCATTAACATTTGTGTAGGTTCTTTTTCATCTTAATCCAACCTTAGTTAATAATCAGAAAATTCTACATGCTGAGTAAGAAGATGTAATTAACCCTTTGACCCCAGAATCTTAATTGGCGCCTGTTGAAACAGTGGGCAGATTTAAAAAAAAAAAAAGTTAAAAACTAGCCTGCAGTGATTAAAACAGCTCAGCACAGAGTAGCCTTCTTGATTCAAATTTTTAAAAAGTTCCACAGAACTTTCAGATTAATCATATTTGGTTCCCAGGACTAACTGATTGAATGTTTCTTTTCTCCTCCCATCTTTTAAAATTCAGATACCCACATTCAACCAATATTGATGCTACTCTTAAGACTTTTCTAAGCCCTAGCTGTTTTGGCTCAGTGGATAGAGCTTCGGCCTATGGACGGAAGGGTCCCAGGTTAGATTCTGGTCAAGGGCATGTACCTCAACTCAGTTGCAGGCTCCCCCCCGCCCGGGCCCTGGTCAGGGCTCATGCAGGAGGCAACCAATCAATGTGTTTCTCTCAAATCAATGTTTCTCTGTCTTTCCTTCTCCCTTCCACTCTCTCTCTAAAAAATCAATGGAAAAATAGCCTCGGGTGAAGATTAAAAAAAAAAAAGAAAAAGACTTCTCTAAGCAGCAAAATACAGCTAACTATAGATAGGGGTCACTCTGAATGAGAAGGCAATGGCTACATAAAGAACAACCTTGCCAGTCCACTAAGACCTGGTTTCCTATCCCATTCTTCAATGTGCCAGGTAATCTAACCAGAGTATTAGACATTCATTTCACACTAAAGATATAATAGACTGAAATGGTTGATAAGCATAAAAGTGAAAAATTAGCTAACCACTTTTGTTTTATTTTGTTTTGTTTACCTCTGTGCTGGCATATAACTAATCTGACTAGTTGTTTTTATCCCCACCACATTGGCTGTTATTTTTAATTGAATTGACTGGACACTTTGTGTCATGTAGACACAGACTCATTTTAATCTCACCAGGAAATTGGAACATGTGTTGAAGCCTCTGTTTTTGCCAAACAAAACTGGCCAGTCCTTAGATCACTGCTGCTTAATAGCATCAGATGTTTAGCCTCCAGATATTCCGTTTCCCTGCTATGGTATCCAGACCTCCCCTAGTATTTTAGCAAATACACGAGATATGAACCTAATGTTAAAAATGCAAAGTCCCTTTTAGTGAGAAAGTAAAGGATGTGTGTCCATGGCAAATGAATAGCACTCCGTGTTTTGGAAGACTATAAAAGAATCCAGTCTAACTCTGATATTCCAAGTGTCGGGAGATATTCCAGACTATGTTAGACATCTGGAGCATCAGAATCTGCAAATAATCTAATAGGTCCAGAAACAGAACCCTTGGAGGGGGTTGCCATCCCTCCCAGTCACTGTAGCATGTGTGCTATAAGGGAGAGAGAGCACTGGGTTTGGAGGTTTCTGCGCATTTACTAAGCCTTGGCTGAGCAGTTTGTTAGGTGTTGGCTAGATAAAGTTGAATAATTTATCACCCACTGTTGAGAAATTCAGTCTCCTTGGAAGTTGAATAAACTAGCCAGGGACACATCATGTCATAAATACTTCGATAATACTAATGAAGCGCAGCAGCTCTCATCCTGGCTGTGCCACTGGCTGGATGGATGATCTTGTCCAACCATTTAGCCTCCTTGTACCTCAGTTTCCTCGCCTGTAAAATGAAGACTACACTACAGATTATCTCTGCGCCAGCTCCACCAGTCTTTTCTGCTTTTGATCAGCCTTTTCCTTGTCACTTGTCCCTGTAGACATTCTCTTGTGATCTCTCTCTCTCTCTCTCTCTCTCTCTCTCTCTCTCCCCCTCTCTCTCTCCTTCTTTTCTGACAGTGGCATTTTAGGTTTGAGAAGATGGCTACCCAACTCTTGGTGACTGTATGCCAGGCCATGGCTATCAGGTTGCATGGAAAACCTAACCAGGCCCTTTTCTCCATGGGGAAGGTCGAAAGGGGAGCGTCATAATCCTCATGGGTCACCCTCGGGAGACAGCTTGCATGAGGTGAAGACGTGCTGAATGAGATCCTTCTCAGACTTCCGCAAAAGCATCTCTCTCCCTTTTGCACTGGTTTCAATAAGGTCCCACCGCACCACACTGTAAGCTTGAAAGGTGGATCTCGCCATGGGGTCGAGGTTTTGTCCTGTGCTAAGGAACTCTCTCTGCTAGTATTTCACTCCGTGTCCCATAGCTGGTTCCAGGAGGGATATTATAGAGCAAAGGTGACCTATTGTGAAAGTGACTTATGAACTCTCTTGTCATCCCATTTCCCATGATTCTTCTTGCTACTAATGAGAGGATTCTGTCATTTGAACAAATCATTCAAAAACAAGTGAATTTTAAGCTGCCTCAATATAAATATTTTAACTTCAGAAATGCTGTACAATTTATTTTTTCATTAATATACAATACCAATTAGAGAATCTTTATATTTAGTGGAAGGCGGCATAGTTACCAAGTCTATCAGCTTTCCAGTCCCAACTCTACCACTTCCTAGGGACAGGAATGTTGCCTAACTTTGCTAAGCCTCAATTCCCTAGCATGTAAAATGTAGATAACAATATAATTACTTCTAATGGTACTTGTGAAAATTAAAAGTGAGTATATGCAAACTGCTTAGCACATATTGCTTAATAAATATAAACTATTATTATTATACTATCTTAACCAAAAGCTTGTTTATTATGTAATTTGCTTTTATGTGGAACAATGCAATATGATTTTTGAAATGTTTTTAGAAACCACTAAATCAGAGGAAGAGGTGGGGCACCGCCCACAGTTTCTGACCAGCAGGGCTATGAAAAAGGATCTGGAAGCATGGAATTTGAATCTTATATGTACATATAAGTATATATAAATACACAGACACACATATTCCAACAAGCATAGACACATATATACATAAATACATATATTGCTCTCAAAAAAATTAGTATTTTAGGAGACTGAAATTGCTGAGATTTCAGGCAGCCTATTTTTCTAATTAAATTTTACATTCTTCTTCCATATTTTTATACTTAAGAATTATGTCATTCAGTGTTGCCACTTACCTGGTTCCCACTGTGGATTTCCTATACTTCCAAAGTCACAGCCTCTGTGCATACCACTAGTCTTTAAAACTTCTCTTCCCATGCAAGTAGTGTTTGTGCAATCTACCTGGTTAAAAATCTATAATAATAAAAGCATAATATGCTAATTAGACCGGACGACCTTCCAGACGAAGCTGGGGCTGCAAGGGAAGTCTGATTCCCAGTTGCCAGAGGGAAGCTGGTGCAGGCAGCCGGGGGAAGGAAGGCCTACTCTTGCACAAATTTCGTGCATCGGGTCTCTAGTAAATAAATAAAGCAAACAAAAGACATGAAGATGATGGCACATAAAATGCACTTGTATTATAAGAATTTGAAACAAATTTATTCTCAATTTGAGTGGTACATTGCAGCTGGAGTCCCTGATGATTTAGACCATTTATCAAACTGAAAATGCAGCCCTCCATTTAAAAAGTGAACTAAGGTTTCCAGAGTTACAGATGGTGTGTAACATCCTTCTCCCCCTCACCCCCACCCCCTGCCTTTCTCCTTTAGTTTCCATTTCAGGAGTCATAATAGAAAGTAGATTTGTCACACAAAAAACTTTAATACAGAGTTTTGCAAAAAAAAGGATCACAATTTGTAAGGTCTCAGCCTATAAACATTCCCCCACAAGGTACTGACCTCTCCTATCTGTTCTAACAAAAGGCAGTGGGAGTGAGGCAGGCATAATCCTTTATTAATTAGCAAATTACTGATGTCCATAGTAGCTCAAGGGGTGATTTTACTTGCTCTTCATACGGAACTATTTTTTCTCTCATTTCATTACAATTTCCATTGCTGTTTAGCTATTAAATGGAAAATCTTGCTGATTTAATCTTAGTAACAACTGAATCCAAGTAAATAAATAAATAAATAAATAAGTAATAAATAAATGCAACATCTTATAAAATCAACATGACCCAATTTTATACATGAATGTAATGCATCTTAATCAAATTGACAGGGACATAAGGAAGTCACTGAAATAAAGGAAGGCTTGTAATCTTAATTCAGACCTTTAATTTGTTCATGTATAATGCAATGGTAAAAGATCCTAGGACTTTTGTTGAACACGAAGGAAAAAATGGTCTTTAATTTGATATGTGTTACTTGTATCAGATTCCTTATTAATTAAACCTCCATCATATATATTTATTAACCTTCTTATTTATTTTTTCTTCCTACAGTCCCTGGATGGCTTTGTGTTTGCACTAAATCAAGAAGGAAAATTTTTGTACATTTCTGAAACAGTCTCAATCTACCTAGGCCTCTCACAAGTAAGTAAAACCGTTGAGATTCTTGGTGGTGATTGTGTAGGCTCCTTGAATCTCGTGCTTTTTCTTGCTCAATGGATATTCTGTTTAGCATGAATTACCAAAGAATGAATTATTCTTTGATCCATCTTCCTGACTCTTCTCTCTCACAAAGTCAGTGGGAAAATGGTATGTCAGTTGGGAGCACTCGGAATAAACTTGTGCTCAAAAACTTTAGTCCCCTCCTCACCCCCAAGGGTCATTATTAATTTATTGAAAACAAATGAAGTTTCTTCCCTTGGTTGTTCTGAACTTTGAAACCTCTGTACCTGGTAGGAGAGGGACACAGGGATAGCACTTCCCTTGTGTCCTATTACTGGATGTTTATGGAGTTCCCTGCATTGTCCTGGGAGCTGACACAATGACAGGGAGTCACTGGAGTCAAGAAATGCTGAAAGAGACCATTAAAATGTGTTGCAGGGAGGATTCCAGCAAGGATATATTTTGCTGCTTTTGCAAATGCTTCTGAATGCGGAAAGACAGTTTCATAAACTTAGATAGCCTTGTATTATTTGCAGTTTAATTACTCACACGTGTCTGTTAGAGGTTCAAAGATAAGAAAACGGAGGCAGCTGGGACAAGGGGCAGAATCCTAGATGCTCGTTCTCGCTCTTCCTCTGGAACACAAAATGTTTACCTCCAAGACACGAGCTGTGTCTAAAGAATGCCAAAATACACCGAAGAAAAGTTCGAGATCCAACTAATTATCCAGATGTTTTCTCCATAAAAATGCTGAACACCTGGATATTTGTGCCCATACAGGTGACTGGCTGAGTTTGCCCCTTTCATCTGGTGGTTTGGCAGGAGAGAAACGCAGCCTGTGTGGGAGGGAGTGTGTGTGTGTGTGTGTGTGTGTGATCATCTGCCAAGTTGGATAATCTATTTCTCATTCAGTTGCTCCTCCTTGGAGCTAAAGATGGAGGTAAGATTTGTCTTCTCTTAAGCAGGACCCTCCCCAGAATCCTTGATTCTGAAAGTTGGCATCACTCTAAGGAGGTCTCCAGTGTGGCTGGAACCTTTTGGCTATTAGTGAGTTTGCTGGATAATGGATAAATCAAGAAAGACATTGGGAAATAATAAAGAGATATTTGGCATTCGAGAAGGGTTGGGGGAGGAGGAGAAACACTGCCAAATTTGATAATTTACTGTTGAGAATCCAAGCAAGGGTCCATTAACTCTTCCTTGAAGAGAGTGCAAGCTATTTGCTATAGTATATAGAGTAATTCTGTTTTTTTGTGGACTTCAGCAAACCAAATGATAGAAACGGAGCTATTGTTAACTCAATATTAGTATTCTTGCATCTTGTTGAAAGCTCTGGTTTTATAATTGCCTATAATAATAGACTTTAAGCCTTGTCTTAATCTGTTTGGGACCTCATATGGGGATTCTCCAGTTTTAAAATTGGTGTGCCACCATGATAATAGGTATAAAACCAGAAACACCACTGTTTGTTGTTCTGCAATGCCCATATTCATCTGTTTTATGCAGACTGTCCAACAAAGTTTAATCAGCCACTGAAGAAGAAGGATGAATAATTAGTTTAAGCAGGTAAATGCTAATTAGGGAACTCCTGAAAAGCATCCATTATATACTAGCTCAAAACACATTTTACAGCCCTGGTTAGTGGTGTAATCCAAATTCTGTCAAGACAACTGCATTTTCTGTAATTGAGATGTGTATGTTTGCTTTGCATAACAGATGGCTCTGTATGCTTAGACTGATAGCTAGGAAAATAATAATTGCATTATTCCGGCCAAAAGAATATTAGCTCTTGGGTCTCGGCCATTTCAGTTGGTCCTCCTGCCAGCACAGCATATGCACATATATGGATTGGATTTTCAAGGAAATTGATGCATCTGGAATTGTGTGGCCATCTGAAATATCATCTGTTCAAGAAAAATTTGGCTTTAACCCTGTGCTGGTTTCTCCTTAAAAGCAGTTGATTTCACTGCTTCTCTCCTGTAACATTAAGTCAATCTTGTCCTAAAATCTGAGTCAAATCATTGAGGTTTCTGCAGAATAGAGTAGCTGCGTAGACATGGCACAGTAGCTGGCAACTCCCATGCAGCCATTCCCTGCTCGTATGTGATGGGTTTTAAAGTGTGTGTCGATAGCCAGCATCTTGACCTCCCAGGGGTAGACACTTGCATAGTGTGCTGTTGCCCTCTGGGTGGATGTCTTGCCATAAACAGTCAGTATTCTGGTAGAGGCTCTGAGGTACGAGACGGGGTCGTCCTTTGGAGGCATTACACAGCTGAAATGATGAAGGGTAAGTCACTAGAAAATGATTTTTGCATATACCATTGTATGTACTAGTATTTAGAGTTCAGAACTAAATTTTAAGAATAGTTCTGGGTCAACATGAAAACAGACTGATAAGAGCATGGTACTTTATTATGTGCACCAAAGAATGAGGCGAAAAAAGGCTATGCTAAAACTTTGGGAAGGGATTTCCAACCCAGTTAACGTTCTAAGTCCTAATTGGTTAATTACGGTTCCTGAGACCTAACAGTTCCCAAGTTTCTTCGGTGCCCTCTTCAAATGTGGGGTGCTTGTGGCTGAATACAAAGTAGCATATACTCAAAGTCATTGAGTACATACTTAATCATTTACACACACACCCAAAAACTCTTCTGTGTCCTACAACTTGGCTTCTGTGGTTATTCTATCAAATTCTAGACTGTGATAAGGAATCTATAAAGTTATACTCCCTCCTTTTCTTTGTAAATAGTTTCATGAAATAAAGACAGCACCACGTACCTGCAGCGTCAGAAACTGTCATTGAAATCACTGAGGGATATGGTGAGCATGGGGGTGTGTTAGAGCATAGCTCTGTCTGCATGTGTAACTCCCAAGATATTCCTTCCTTAGTTTTATTTTCTTTCAACATGTAAATAAATATGGTGACTTTAAAATGGCTTATGTTCAGGAAAGGATTAGGGTTATTTTTGGCTCATAAGAAAATTAAGTAAAGAAACTTCTACTGAGCTCTGTTGAGTAGAAAGAATATAGAGACAGCCAGAGTGGATTATTATTCTACAGTCCACTGCGTGTAGCAATGCCTGGTGTTCAGGGTGTGTGTGTGTGTGTGTGTGTGTGTGTGTGTGTGCGCGCGTCAATTATCCTCTTTAAAGTATTTTCTTATTGTCATGATGATGGGAATGAAGGATAAATGATGATGTCTGAACCTCTTCGGCAGAGATATTTAACCTAACATCCAAGATGTAGTCTCAGGTTGTTGAAATGTGTACTGCTGATTTCCTTCCCGTAGTAAAAATGACTTCCAGGGACTCACCATGAGACCTTGTCTTAAAGGAAGACCCCTAAATATCGATGCTGAGTTTGGTTTACATGGAGATTAAATGACTTCTACCCGGTGATGGCCCTCAAAACTGCTAAACACCACTCTGCTCTCCAACTATCAAGGGATAAGCAGGAGTGAAAATGAAGGAAGAAAACAGAGCAGATTTCTAACCCTGAAAATGTAGCAGTAATATGTACCCAGCTTTTATGAAATCTCTTTCAACTTGTAAGAAACTTAATCACCAAGAATCCAATATCTGGTGATGGCCCTCAAAACTGCTAAACACTACTCTGCTCTCTAGCTATCAAGGGATAAGCAGGGGTGAAAATGAAGGAAGAAAACAGAGCAGATTTCTAACACTGAAATGTAGCAGTAATATGTACCCAGCTTTCATGAAATCTCCTTCAACTTGTAAGAAACTTAATCACCAAGAATCCAATAGAGACTTTATATGATTTTTTTTAAAAAGCAATTCTATTCTGATACAAGATTTAAAGCAGCTTAAAGAAATATTTATTTGTTGGCCTATACCCTCCTCTTTCTACAAAGGAAATAGCTTGCATAAACATATACAATAAAAAGTAATGGCAAAGAGAACTAGGATATAAGGAAAAAAGGTAAAAATAGGTACTATTTTACCACAGAATAGGAGAACACAATAGAGGCTTATAAGAAGGGATATAAATGGTCTGATAAAGCTTCAAATGTAGCTATGAACTTCCTGTTAGCCAGAGCAAAAAGGGATATACAGCAACCATAAAAAATAAGGAAGCATCACTTTTTAAGAAAAGTTTTTCTAGGACAGAAAGAGAAAAATAAATCTCAAATACAATTTTTGTAGGGGCTACTATGTGGATTATATGTATTGATTTGCTTCCACTGGGGTCCACATTCAGAGCAAGGCTGTAGTAACCCATATAACAAACATGAACATACATGTTGCAAATCTCATAGGTAGGCAGAAGACTCCATCATCCCCTCCCCCACACACACATACACACTCAGCTGTGGTGTGCCAAAGATTATTTTGAGAGCTATGTTCTGGCATCATCTGCACTTAAAATAGTGTTGACTAGTTTGATGATTTGGGGGCTTCTAAATGAGCTTTCACTGTTCCACATAAATCCTGCATTTTCTTTTAAATACTGACTAGAAATTTAACATTATAGTTGCCAGAGGCAGAGGACCTGGGTCTTAGTTAAGCCTATAAAATAAAAGCCCAATATGCTAAGTGTCTGGTCATCTGTCCAGCCATTCAACCAATCAAAGCGTCATATGCTAATGATATGCTAAGACCCCTCAACCACTTGCTATGACGTGCACTCACCACCAGGGGGCAGACATTCCAACCGGTAGGTTAGCTTGCTGCTGGGGCTGGCCAATTGGGACTGAGCAAGACTGGCTGAACATGCCCTGGAGCCCTCCCACGGTCCCTCCCGGCTGGCCAACCTCCTGCGTCACTCCCCAGCCCCTATCATGCACTGGTGGGGTCCCTCGGCCTGGCCTGCACCCTCTCACAATCCAGGAACCCTTGGGAGATGTCGGAGAGCTGGTTTCAGCCCCATCCCATAGGGCAGGGCGAGGGACCTCACTGGTGCATGAATTCGTGCAACGGGCCTCTAGTCAAAATGTAAAAAAAGAACTCAGCTTCTGAAAACAT